ATATATATATTTTCGTAAAGACACCCACTCTGTAATGAGTTATAATTCAAAGATTGGTATCAGAGTTGGAGAAGTTTGAATTTACATAGGGATCCACTGAAGAGGAACAAAAGAAACATCAGTTGGACTCAAGATCAGATTACTAGAATCTTTGTACTGCAGAATCCCTCGATTGCTATACCTTGGATCCCCCTGGAATTTTTCATATTTATAAAATGAAGAGCTGGTAAAAATCCTATTGTAAAGTCTAACTTTTTCTCCAAGTATTACTTTTACAGACAATTATACAAAACTGATTGTCTTAGGTTTTTTTAAAGTGATAATGAAGTGCATACTGCTAATTATTAAAGATAAGGGGTAGGTATGTATGAGAGAGTGATGAGAACGTACAAAGAAGTGTTCAGTCTGTTTAAAACATGTAGCATGGTCTTTAACAAGAGATATTTATTTATTCTTCTGCCTCTTGAAGATTATTTCTCTTCCACACAAGATTGAACATTTATGTAAGTAACCGGGAAATACCAAAGAAGAGAGTTGTAGAACATGCATGGGTGACAGCTACCAAACATATTTGTGAAGTGAAGATGCCTGGAAGCTGAGTAGTATTTCATTTCAGTCAAAAGTTTTATAAAACAACTACCATGCACATAAACCTTAATGAATGGACACACTCCATCTTCGCACCGAACAGAACAAAGGTAGGCACATAACTGGCATTTATAAAATGTTTACAGACTGTTTGTATTCATTAGAATCTACTAGGTTCTCAATATAGGAAATTAACCATATAATAAATTAATTCTATGGTATGTATACCATGTTTTTGAATCAGAATCACTTTGGGAAACAATTCCATTGTATTTTTCTGCAGTGTTGGAAATACTTGCCAAACTCTGGAGCCAAGTTTTCTCTATTTTGTTTCAAGGTCTACAAGATTTCAGCAAAATACTTTAATGAATTTTGTGTACATTGTTAGAGGAAGAAATTATCCTTCATAAGGCAGACAAATGCCTCTCTGAGACCCTTTTTGGAGTACTGGGAAAACCAGACAATGGCTCTTGGATAATTGTAATTTGGAATTCGTTTCATAACATGTTTATCAACCTTTTTGAGGAGTTATCAACGCTGTCAGGAACATACATCTGAAATGGCAGTTGGGAAGATTTCTGGCTCCATATTAGCTCACCCTTGCTTCATCATTCTTCTCTAAATCCCTATTTCCTATTCAGTCACAACAGTTTCTCAAGGTAAAGGAGAGTGTAGCCATTCAACCAAATTTCTCCTGTTCTGAGCTCGGTTATCATGTCAGAAAGAAGAACCTGGAAAAGTTATTTTTTTTAAAAAAACCTTCAATTCTGTTTGTGCTTGTCAAAAAGAAGTAGGCAACACTTAGTTTTAAAATTTCTTTAGGCATTACATAAACTGTTCTATCAGTTTTTCTGTCTTCTTAAAAATATTAGCATATATAAAGGTACTAGAAGAATATTTTTACATACAACTAAACTTGGGTAGAGGATAAATCACAATTGTCAACTTTTCACAAGGGGCTAATTTGCCTCAAAATCTGTGCCCCCAAACTGAAACTCTGCATCCTGTCTGAGACACCTGCACAGTTCATGTTCTCCCTTTGTTCTACTTTCTCTTCTATTGAGTTTCCCATAGAGGAGTTAATAACACCAGGTATAGAGACCTTTCACCACGCAGGATGGTTGGCATCCTGCCCTGGTGAGAAGGTTAGGAGAGTGACCCTCTGGAGATTTGTACCGCGGACCTCTTCACTATTGCTAGCAAGAAAAAGTGCACAAATACATGCTGGCATACAGTTGAGATAACTTCTACAGACTCATGTCAACTTCTGGACAGTTACAAATGTGGTGCATTAAAACTCTGAGGGAAAAAAGAAAACAAGGAAAAGCAA